TAGATCCGCGATGTGCTGGAGCGGGATGCAAGATTCAGGAAGGTTCTCTACACCAAACTGGATGCCAACATTATTCCTAAGCACACAGAGTTGCTTTTGATGGTGCGAATCCTCTGCAACGATTTGGTTTCCAAGTTGAAGAACGAAAAAATGTAAGCAAAACTTATTTGATAATATCAGCCCAGGCAACTCGTAGACGCTTGTAGATTTCACTCCAGTTTTTTGTTTATTTTGGTTGTGTAACGCATTCACATATTCCGTTACCAAAGTCTCCTATATTTTCATTTTCATTACGTATGCTATGAAAGCAAAAACTATTCTAGCGCTAACTTTGAACCGGACGAAAGTCATTTGGGAAAGAAATTAAGGTTGTGAATCCACCGACAAAATCGACATGAAATTTGAACATAACTTTGAAGCTACACTTCGTAAGTACGGAAGCTGTCATGATGTTATAGGGGGCTGAATATTACTGCCTGACAAGCACTTCAAAAATAATTAAAGCTATGTAAATTTAAGTGTCAATGTTTAGGTCAATGTATTTTTTATATAATGGTTACGTTTTAATTACAGATACCCTACAACCAGCGAAAAGAAGGAGTTGGCGTGTGATATTATTTCTGCTTTCCCTCATCTAAGGTCTACAAAATTAACAGAGAACGCTCCAGATTAAGTGAATATTCAGAATGTTAAAATTTATTCGAAGGTTTTTTATCGATTTTATTTTTTGTAGTCTTTGTTCTTTTGGCAGAATTGCGGAAAGAGAGCAGGCTCATTCCGGCCTAATACATACCCATATCCGAAATTCCTGCAGATCGAAATCACCAAGTAAAAGGAAGTTTATTCTCGACAGCCAAAAACTTTCGAAGCATCTAGCGTATCATCCGAAATAATTGCGCTGTCCGAAGAATGTGCACAACTGGATGCGACACCGGCTAATTTTAGCAATATATCCACACTGATGGCAGACATACAACCGTTTCATAACCAACTTATACATGGCAAGAAAACAGTAACTGCCATCCTCCAAGTTCTACCACATTATACATCATATAATGGTTCCATGGTACGTATAATACACATTTTGTAAACTTAAAAAAAAACTATCAATTTTGCTTCGATTTCTTAGATTCGTAAGGCCTATGAACGCATGAATCCCGGCTACGATTCGGAATCAGATTTGAGGAAAATATTTTCTTTGGACCTTATGCTTGAAAGCGGAACGTTTACAGATGTTCGAGATGGTAAGTTTAAATATATTATGCTTGTCAGCGTAAGGTTGCTACTCATATTAATGTTAAATAAGTTAGCATCATTGGCACCATTACAAAGAAGCAATAAAAAACTTGACCACTCAGAAGTAAACTTATCATGGATATCGAGTATTCATTACGTGTTAAATGACATTTTCTTTTAAATGTAGATCATGTCCGCGGATGCCTCCGAATCATGGGACAACTGTCCAGAAAAGGCGTTAGAAAACCGCCAAACGTGATGCCATTGGGAGTCGAGGAGGAGTTGGCAGCACCGCTGATTCGATGGATTGGTGTAAGTATTTTTAATATTTTGCTATTTTGCAAAATTAATATCGTTACCTTTTTATCAATATGAATCCCCTTCGGCGTTAGCTTTACAAATGGGAAAATATGCAGCGTACGCAGTTCTGCATAATGCGCCGGTGCCTCCCCACATTGTTAACCAGGGAAACGTCTACATGATGTTCATTGAGGGCCATATTTTTTTCCTTGGGTACTAGTTCAGTCCAAGCAGTAGATACATTTGTAAAAAATTTCAGTGTTTTTAACTACAAGGTACCAGCTACATTGATAAAGCTCACTGAATTAGTTGAAATACTTAGCTATAAAGTAAAAATGAGCAGTTCACGACTCTCAGTTAATAAACTTTGTAATCAAATGCGTGAGACGATTGATGCTAATTAAATCTAGAAAGGATTTATACATTTAATTAAATAAATAAATAAATAAATATTACTGTTAAAATTCTTGTGCATTTTTATTCAATATTTGAAATTTGTTTTATCGTAGGTATTATTTTTTTTTTCATTGTAAAAACTATGAATTTAACTATACATGTGGGAGTATAAATTACGCATTTATACTTTGTTCGGGGTGTCAAAACTACGCATTTTTAAGTTTACTATGTGGTGTAAAAAGTATGCAGATTCTAACGTACATTCAATTTACGCAAAAGAGAGTAAAAACAGTATACTCCTTTATTGGGTAGTCCCATTTTCCAAAGAAAGAGCGTACTTTATAGTCATAGTGATAACCGTGTAAGTCACCCGATTTCTATGGAGATGCCATTTGTCTTAAGAAACAGCACAGAGAAATCCGTGAAAAGTGTACGTTCGTCGTTTCGCTTTCTCATTATTAAAGTTAATAAATCGAACTGTTTGTTGCTAAGATAATTTCGGTGGTCCTAAAATGATGAATGGACTGCACGTAAGGAGACGTGGTTGATAATTCTCCCGAATATCCTGGTACATACACCAAACGATGTATAATAAATTTTGACTCAAAAACCAGTATTTTTTAGCATGAAAGCTAGCGACCTTCTTTGTATGATTAAATCCCTGCTTAATAACGGCGCCGGTGGTGTAGTGGTAAGCGTGATTACCTCTCACCCCAGCAGGCCTGGGTTCAATCCCAGTCGGCGCCACCGGGATGTTCTGAGGCATAACATCTCTGATCACGCCTTCCTTCGGATGGGAAGTAAAGCCGTTGGTCCCCGGTTCATGAGTTGATGGGTCGATAAGTAGGGTCCAGGTGTGGGAGCTGCCTTCCTGGCACGTCGGTAGCATTGGTGCTCAGCACGGAAAACAAGATCGACAAAAAAAAACAAACCAAAGGAAAAAAAAAAAAAAAAAAAAAACCCTGCTTAATATATTAAACATTGCTATCACTATGAGATTATCACCCCTATTTTGTATTTCGTTTCGAACGAAATTCTCATACAAAAAAAATATACAGAATAGGGGTGTATATGTGTTTAATTGGCAATAGGAATAACTTTTCGGTCATCAAAACTTTATTTTTCTCGGATCGGTGCAAATGTTACCTTCGACATAATGATAATTTGCTCTTGAAATATTCAAGAGTCAATTTAAAATAGGCTTATCTGCTTCTGTAAACAAAGATTCAAACGTCAATTTGTTGAAACTCTTAGCACCGACGAACCGACGTGGCAGCCCATAGAAGCCACATTGCCGAAATTCTTGCCCAAGACGCCATATTTAAAATACGTCCTCCATCTACTCATCCGATCGTGTCATATCGTGAGCAAGGACACGAACACACGATACATTTATATTAATTTGGTTTGCGTGCGTCTCGATCGCCCGTTTGATAGAACGAATCACTCATTTGACAAATCGAATTACGGACAAACGAAATGCTCCAGTGGCATGTCGGTTCATCGGTGCTCTTAGCTTACCCACTTAAACTAACACCCCCATCAGGTAGTGTAAAGATTCCCCAGCATTATGCTGGTGTTAGTTTGCGTGGGTGAGCCAAGAGTTTCGAGAAATTGACGGTTGAATCTTTGTTTACAAAAACACAAACAACTGGTTGAAAATTCACTCTTGTATTATTCGATTAACCCCGTCGAGAATGAAAGACAATTACTTCAATCGGTTGTTTGTGTTTATGCTAAAAAATATCTTCAAAACATTCCACGGCTTTGATTGCGTATTATCAGTACGTACGCATCGTATCGACTCGACAAGCATTCAACTATTCAACTCTCACTATAGCCAGAACGCATGTCTAGATAGAGCTGGAATTAGGGCGTAACAGCTTTTGTAAACAATGAATTCTCTCGATGATTTCTAGGAATTCAAGGCCCACCCACGCAAACCAACATAATCATCAGATAGGGAAAGTCTTCTCCAATCCGATGGTGATGTTGATTTACGTGGACGAGCCTTGACTTTCTAGTAATCATCGAGAGAAGTCATTGTTTACAAAAGCTGTAACGCACTGATTCCAGCTCTATTTAGATGTCAGTGAGGAAAAGTACGCCGTTAGTTTTTTTTCCTTGATTTGTTTTCCGTCGATCTTGTTTTCCGTACTGAGTACCAATGTTACCGACGCCAGAGAGGTAGCTCCCACACCTGGACCCTATCTATCGGCCCATCAACTCATGGACCGGGAATCAACGGTTTGATCAGAGATTTAATGCCTCAGAAAATCCCGACGACGCCGACTGGGATTGAACCTAGGCCTTTTGGATTGAGGGGCAGTCCTTCTTAGCACTGCACGCCTGGCGCCGTTAGTTGCAGAGTCAACACATATACACCCTTCTCATCTTTCGATTATTCAGTTGAAAATGATCCAGCAAAACAGACACGTCCGTACTCTCTGAAGTGGTTATTCGCGAAATTTGCTTCGTAAACAAGCCTACACAAATACCAAAAATACGGTTATTATCGGCCACGCGCATCTATCCCGGTGCATTGTTTGGTGGGTGTGTTTTTGCAACAATCTTATCAGGTAAGCTTAAGTGTTCCGATGACACATTGGTAATTGGCGTTATTTTCACCAGTAGCCGAAAACACAAATAAGGCATCAAAATAGTCTTATCACCAGGCGTGCATCAACAAATATGTCCAATCTATCTGTCTTTTGTTTCTAGCTAGCCCCCAACGAACAGAGTGCTGTATCTACCCAGGCAGAAGTTGCTAGCTGACGAAATACATCATCTCAGGACCGGCTAGCTGGACGAAACTCGGGCGATAAGCATAGTCCATCAATAATACCCATTCTTCCGCTCTCATGCTCTCACCACAGACTCCTCCCGTGTAATTAACTGTGCCTTTGTGTCCCCGAGAGTTTGAACTTGACTCTTTCGGAGATTATCAAAATAATAGGTACCTACACATTTTGCGCACATCTTCATTGTTCGCCCGGGGTACAATCCTTCCCACAATAACAATAAAAGTGACCAACGACCATCGGATCACTATCAGTCACCGTAGAGCTCGCACTGCGGTAAGGTTCATCCCTGCGTACATTTGACCAGTTGAGAAATCAGTGCACTTTAACTTGATCCAGTAGTGAATTCAATTTTGGTGTTTGACAAGTTTTATTCAAAGTGAAAATGATCAAGAGTGTGGAACGGGCACAGATGCTGAAGCAGCTGAGCAAACTGCTGCTGGCATCCAGCGCTGGAATGCAGGCCGTGCAGGTTCCGACGCGGTGCAGAGCCGCTGTGCAGAAGCGACTGTCGTCGTCGTTCGCAAATCAAACTGGTGAGTGTTTGAACGGTTTATGATATGTTAGCCCTTTTCAGTTTTCCAGAAGGTTTTTCGTTTTTTTTTTATGTGTATGGGAAGGGGGGCAATATATCGCCAATGGGACAATATGACCAACTATTGTTCATATTTTAGAAAAAAAATCTGTTGCAGGCTTAATGCTTGAAGCCTACATTTAATTTTAGTCTAAAAAATTACTTTTCTCTAGTGCGAATATTCGAAAAATGTTAGACTACAAACCACATTTAAATCAGCAAAGATTGCAACAATATTTCTGTACTGATTTTTTTCAGCAATTAAAATTCTGACATTTGGCAGCATTTTGCTGAATAAATTCAGTAAATCGAATTTGTATTCATTATGTGTCCTCACTTACATAATTTTGTTTATTTGTAGTTTTTTGTACCTCCTAATTGCTAACAGTTTGAAAGCTGGGTGTCCAGCAAACCGTTTATGTTAGCTGAATTTTTCGGTAAAAAATATCGTTGGCTGTTTTTCAGTAAAGCATTGGTTTGCTGATCATGATCTAGTAATCCGTTTTAAATTTGGTTTGTAGCTCAAAATGTCAAAAATTTTATGAGATTTCTAAATCAGAAATTAAAGGCTATCAGCAGTTTCTATTTTTTTCCTCTGTTCGGGACATAAAACCACTGCGACCATTTATTTGACCTATTGCGGTATACCCCGTAGCCATAGTATAGTGCATGTCGTATTATCATAACTATTGAGAAATGATGAAGTATTCCGTTTTGATACAGTTGTCATTCTTGCCTTTATCGCAAGGATCCGACTATAATTGTAAGGTTCCGCTCTTTATATCCTTTGGAGTGTTGAAGCACCCTCCAAAGGCGCGCCCTTTTGTCACACACTTAGAAATAACTACTTTTACACGAGACGTAATCCATATTGGACGTAAATCATAGAATGTAAACAAACATTTCATGTAAAATTAAGTCAAGAGCAAATTTTCATTACGTCGAATGTAACAAAGGTAAACAAAGTCGAGCTATCAGTGTCAATCGATTCTCCTGCTATTACACTATATACTGTCCGAATATAGGATCAAATCCCATTTTTAAATTTATTTACCAGTCAAATTGCTTTTTGACGTAATCACCTTCCGATCAAAATAGTTTTCGATGTTACTTAAGTCACCCAATTTCTATGGAGATGCCGTTTGACTTAAGTAACAGCGCTGAGAAACCCGTGAAAAGTGTACGTTCGTCGTTTCGCTTTCTCATTATTAAAGTGAATAAATCGAACTGTTTGTTGCTAAGATGATTTCGGTGGTCCTAAAATGATGAATGGGCTGCACGTGAGGAGACGTAATTGATAATTCTCCCGAATATCCTGGTAAATACACTTTGACTTAAGTAACAATAGGGGCCACCAAACGACGTATAATAACTTTTGACTCAAAAACCAGTATTTTTTACCATGAAAGCTAGCGATTTGCATTTGTATGATTAAAACCCTGCTAAATATGTCAAACATTGCTATCACTATGAGATTATATGTGTTTACTTGGAAATAGGAATAACTTTTCGGTCATCAAAACAAAACTTTATTTTTCTCGGATTGATGCGAATGTTACTTACGACATAATGAAAATTTGCTCTTGAAGTGTTCTCAAACTGAAACAGAGTCGACGAAGAGAACGTTTGATTGAATTGATTTTCACGTTTCTTTCAACTGATACTTATGTCAAAAGGCCCGCTTACATGTGTCGGTCTCAGGGAACCGAAATTTACATGACTTTTTAGTAACGGATTCCTTCATAACAGGATCAAACAATAACACCGATAATGACCATGCATCAGAATTCTAGTCTTACCCATTTCAAACTAGAGAACAGCGAATAAAAGATTAGGAATCACGTAGATGAAAAATAACTTCCAGCTCATTTTTTCCTTGTTTCGAGGTCATCCTCGGTGGACAAAGCCGAGTCTTGTCACTATCAACAAGACATAAACAGTAAAAAGGACTAAGATGTGTTCCTTTGATTACAAAAACAAACCTGTTCCCCTAGTTTGGAATAGTCATGACTAGGAATTGGTGGTAGATCCAATGGGGGGGGGGGAGTACGAACAATCGCCGCCTACCTCGCATAACTGGTTCCAAACGACAACAAGCCATAAGCAACGATGGTTTGTTGATGTTCGTCGCCTCTTTCGTTCTCCGGCTGATTAAATAGATGATAGAGTTTGACGTCAAGCTTCTTCAACCATATAAACAGCGGCTGAACGAAAGAGATGACAAATTACATATTTCTAGATAGAGCTGGAATTAGGGCCAATGTCGCAATGGGCTTGAAGTAAGAAAAATGAATCTGAAGTTTTGAACAAAAATTATTAAATATAATTTAAACTATAACCCCATTCCTAGAAATGAACTGTTCCTAATTATTACATTATTGGATAGCATTATGGTGAGATAAATACATAAAAATATTATTATTTTTATTTACAGCTCGAAAAAAATGAAAATGTTGCATGCGCCCTTTTGATTTAGAGTATCTTGTATCGCCCTGAGGTTATTCGCCCGGCTGCGTTCACAGAAGCTATTTCGCCCCTATGTTTCGCCTACTAGTTTTTGACATTGTCTGTTTCGCCTCAATGTTTACGTTCTTTTTCCTGATGGTTTGTTACTATCGACCTATTGCAGTTTGTTGGATTCTAGATAAATTCAGTGTCAACATTTCAAAGGGGCGTAATTGCATTTGTAAACAATGGCTTTAGCCGTGGATTTCTCGCAAATAAAAGCTCACTCATGAAAATTAATTACACCAACAGGTAGAGGAATGTTTCTTCTACCAGATAGCATTGCTAATTTAGAGGCAAGGTTGCAAAGACTCATTTCAGCTAAAACAATGTTTTTCTAAATTATGAAATAATTAGATGCCATGATCAAATTTTGAATTGGTAGGATACAAGAAGAGGTTGCAAAGAATGTGTTTGACATATTAAACCTGTTTATTTCACTTCATGAGAGTCACAATCAGCGATTTTTCACAAACTCACTCACTCACTCACTCACTCACTCAGCGATCAGCAAATCGCTGATTGTGACTCATAGAAAGCAAAATTTACAGGTTTTATGTTTCTAACGCATACTTTGTAACCTCTTCTTGTAAGTTACAAGTAAAACATGCCATCATACCATCTTTTGGTTTTATTATTCCGAAAAACATTATTTTAGCTGAAATGAGTCTTTGCAACCTTGTTTAGAGGAGTGAGCTTTTATTTGCGAGAAATCGATGGCTAAAGCCATTGTTTACAAAAGCAATTACGCCCCTTTGAAATGTTGGCACTGAATTCATGTGTTGAGGTGTTTTCGCTTATTTCGATCAGATTAACAATGTTTTCTTTTGATTACCAACCGGTAATTGCAAGGAGTAGCGAAAAGATTCAAATTATATCTTTCGCCTTGTATGGAGAAAATATGTCTGTTTCGCCCCATCTATGTATATGGGAGGAAGCGGCCGTAAGAGCCAACTCAATTTGTAACAAAAAAAAAGTTGGTTTCGCCCTTATGTTTTTTGCGTTTTTTTAAGAAAGTACATTATTTGTTCAAACATTTTTAGTATGTTTGTTTACACTTGCGACATTCGCCCTTATTCCAGCTCTATCTAGATTTACATCTTATTGATGGATGTTCAGTGGGCCGATTAGTCAGCACATCCCGCCCCTGGTGGGTAGATCTTAATGTCAGTAACGCACCACGCAAAGGTAATCTACCAGGCGTTACTGTGTCAGCAGTTTCTTATAATTTACACAGACAGAATAGGCAATCCACTTCATGTTGCTCCAGAAACGGCAGTAGTCTCTTTCGTAGGCATTCTTCCTGGTAAATTTGCTGGTTCATGGTCCCAGAAGTAACGAAAGTTTTGCTTATCAGCCCACAACTGCAGATCGCTTGCCAGACAAGGAACTTTTTAGGGAATTTCCATTTTTTTTTTGATTTTACATTTTTCCGGGAACACTTCCGGTCAACCGAAGGATAAAATTCCTGCCCAGGAATTTGATCGAAAATTCCCAGGAGCGGATAGACCTGGATTGTCGTTTCGAGTGTGCAGGATCGAATCGCGACTTACTTGCTCCGGTCAAGCCATGATGTAAACCAATGAAGTTATCCCGACAACCAATGCCTACTGTGATTTTATACACTCTTAGCTTGATCCAGTGAAATTTTGAAAAAAAATACTCGAAAAATGGTGAATGGTGAATTAATTCTGAACTTAGCTGGCACCCTTTCAATATATCTTGTCCAGCTTATCACCATTGCCCAAGACAGCAACCTTCTATCTTGTCAAGATATCAAATAAAATTGCGCACTGGCGCCCCCTGGTGAGTGAATTCTGAACTGAATTGTTTGCCATAGAATAGGTCTAGTTCATCTGAACAACTATGTCAGAGATAGGGGAAATGACGGCTTCGGCATGACAGACTATTTTCGGCAACCCAAATTGAAACACTATTTTCACTGGATTTTCTTACGAAAACACTTCGCTGAATGCATGCAAACGATTCTTTATGCTTTCAGCTTCAATTTGACTATATTTTTACCACTTAGAAAAAGCAATCTAGCAAGGTTTTCTTGAAATGCAACACACGCACTACAAATTGTAGCTGATTTCGAGTTGCCGATAATAGAACAGCAGATTTACATGCAGTTCAAATGGAACGGTTGCCGAAGAAAAATTGGTTGCCGACAATACTCGCTCTCACTAGAGAAGATTGGAGCTCTGTAAAAGCGTTTCAAAACAGTTTTTGACAATTCTTTCGACTGAAATTGCTAGATCAGCTGGCAGCAAAAGATTGTAAACAAACCAATACTGCATATGTGTGCGGTCCTTAGAGAAAAAGGCTATAGAAAGAAGGTCGCTGCTTAGGTTGCCGAGAATACGTAAATTCCCCTATGTACCTTCCATATGAGCAGGATTTCTTGATTGACTGCTTAGGGTTAGAGTCGGTGTATAATGAGTCACGCCAAGAGTG